CAGTCTTATCGGCTTTATTTAGCAGAAAAAGCAATTTTACAACTATTATAAAATTTTATATTTTTGTTCTTATTTTTTGTTCTTAGTTTCTCACTAAATCTAAACGTATAAACCAATTATACTAAATTATACTAAAGAATCTTATAGCAGTTGCAAAGCTGCTTTTTCTGCTAATTGCAGCGATTGTTTCTTTATCAAGTATCTTTATCAAGTATGGACTTACTGCTGCATTTTTATCTCCAAATTCAATCATGGCGCTGCCTTTCTTTGTAGAAGATATAACAAGAACCCCTACATCTCCATACTGTAGAAGAATAATAATTTAAAAAATAATTAAAACAAACTGAAAAATGGAATTAGATGTGATATTACCTTGGAAAACATTTTATGTAAATTATCATAATTATATCCACCATTTGTCAAATCACCATCTTGCACCTTCCATCTAATTTTTATTCGAAAGTCTCCCACATTAGATGTTAAATCATCCGATGAGCTCTTAAGCTTTTCCAAAAAAAGTTCTCGTGTAAAGACCATCTCTTCTTCTATTTGTTTATACCACTCTTGCAATCGTTTTACTTCTGCCTGAATATAATTATATATCTTTTTATATTTTTATATATCTAAATTAACAATAAAAAGTATCTGAAAGTAATTTTTAGCAAAATTAAATTAGTATACCTTTGTTCGTTCTTCATCAGATTTAGTATCAGATTTAGAATCAAATGACTTCTTATAAGCTTCCTCGCGTGCCTCCAAATCTTCCTTTAATTTCTTCCTCTTGGCATCAAACTGTCTAACACGCTCTTTCGCCTGCTTCCTGGCAGCAATAGCTTGATCATACGCTGCCTTGTTTCACAACATATTTTTAATAAATTAGACCATCAACGAGACTTTCTAGAAGTCTAAGAAAAAAGATGTTTGATGATGACAATGTTAATGAATTTTGAAAAGATGTCGATATACTTACTCTGGCATTTGTGTCTGTCAATATTTCCAATACTCTCGAGAGTTCCTGAAATAATTCTGCAGCTCTCGGATTGTCCGGGTTTTTGTCAGGATGGCATGTCAAAGCTTTCTTGCGATATGCCTTCTTGATCTGAAAATATGAATAACATCAAGCATTTTCTCTCTTTAATTATAATACACTTTCTAATTATACAATATTTTACTTTGCTATAAAAAACATAAACATTTTAATGTAAATAAATCCAAATCTTTAAAAAATAAATTAAAAATACAAACCTCTGGCATAGAAGCTGTCGGCTCCACACCAAGCAATCCATATAAATCCATTTGTGTAATTGCATCCATTATTATTTGTATTTGATTTAAAAGTTTTGTTTAATCAATAAATAAAAAAATATATATATATATTTAGATGTGTAAACAGCTTCAATTATTTTAACTTCTTGATTCTATGGAGTTATAATTGTTCTCGTCTAAGCTTATATTTTACTTCTTCTCATCACAGTTATAATCTTTTATTCCTTAATTTTGAGATTATACTTTCACTTTTTTTCACAATAAAAATAAACATTAAAACGAGTTAGATAAACATTGTTATTATTTAAGTTAACCTCACTTTATCTTTAGCCTAACACGCATTTACACCATTACGTCTGTGAGTGACTTGCGTTTACATAGGTATGTATACATAACATGTATTATTAGTGTTATCAGTAATACTTCTATATATATATATATATATATATATATATATATATATGCACATCGAATAATCTGAAAGAAGAAACACAAGATGATTACAAGACACCTGTTCCGAAACGTTCCGTGCTTTCGACTCGCTCTATTACAGGTATCATACCACGTATCCTATAATCAAACAATTGCTTATCTGTCCTTGTAATTCGTAACAATATATTTTCGTCGAACTTGCCATTCAAGCATGTATTGGCATGTATTTACGACAAACGTTCCCCTACATCACTTTGACATACTTTTGTGATACTAGCAATTTTTTTTTTTCATTGTTCTGGGATAGTCTTGTTTTTTCAAAATTGCGATATTTTTACGTGAGTAAGAATATTTGTGTGATTTTTAATTTAATTGTTACAATAAATATCCCGATCGATTGGTAGCAAGATACGTCATTTTGTCGTCATTTTGACCAGGGGAGCAAGATCTATGATTTAATAAGACGCACGCGTCTTATTGATATCGATAAATATATTATTGAAAAATTATTGTTCATTATTTAACGTCACCTTATTACTTGAGATATCTGCACATTTTGTTATATCTACTTATAAAATATTTTTAGTATGTATTAATGAAAAAAATTCTCATTTCATATTTTTCAGAATTTTTAATAAAAATTTTTCATTTTAAATTTTCATTTTAAATTTATGAAAATCTTTGGAAAAAATTTTTCTTAAACTTTAGATTTTATGAATTTTCTTTAAAAATTATAAAATAAGAAGTTTTCTCACAATATTTCAGAACTGACATAAAATTATAAAGAATTCTAGAAAGATTTTTTCAATACTTTTGATAAGTATTTCAATTCGTATAAAAAAGAAAAATCTGAAAAATTTCTTGAAAAGTTATAAAATTATAGGTACATAAAAATTCTGAAATTTATATAGAAATTTTTAAAATTATATGAAGAAGTTTAAGAAATTTTTTCAAGGTAGCTACATATAATTATAACCAAATGTAAATGAGTCATTAAATAAATAAATAATAAAAATATGAATGAAATAGATATAATTATTTGATATATTACTGGAAAAACATTTCATTAATTTTTTCTCTCTTCCCCTTCTTTATTAGTATCTTTTATTTTCTAGATAAAATATTGCAGTACCGGCTCGAGCGAGCCGCAATTCATGGGAATCAAAAATACTTTCACCAGTAGTATTCAATTCATCAATGAAGAAAATTATGAACCTATTCCGATGTACAGGATTTTGGAAACTTCACAGAAGACTAAATTACCTGAAGACGAAAAGGTTTGATTATTATCACAATTATAAAAGTCACAACATACAACTTAAAGATATATATTTTTTCAAGTCATAACTTCCATTTTTGTCATATACTATATACTTATACATGACTTATAATATTTCTTTATAAAAGTTTATAAAATTCTATATAAAAATTTCTATATAAAAAATTCTATATAAAAAAGAATTAATTTTGTATAATAGAGTTTTATTTGACTTAATGACTTCATTTAGTATTAATCACAGATAAAATTTTGAACTAAAAATTAGATGTGAACCGAAATAAGGCACAGGAAACTGAATATTATTATTCTTGTATTACAGTTAAATGAAGTATATTTGAAAAAAATGTATTACGATATGGTAACCATAAGCGTTATGGATAAGATAATGTACGGGTTGCAAAGACAAGGTCGCATATCATTTTACATGACCAATACAGGCGAAGAGGCTGTGCAGATCGGTTCGGCCGCTGCTTTAACTCTAGAAGACATGATTTATGCACAGTATCGTGAGGCTGGTATGAAATTGTATTATGCGTTATCCATGTATTGTTATACGCATCTAAAATATTGTATACCGATATATGTAACAGGTGTGTTACTGCATCGTGGGCATCCCTTAGCGAAGTTTATGAACCAATGTTACGGCAACTACGAGGATGAAGCCAAAGGGAGGCAGATGCCGGTACACTATGGTTCTAAAGAATTGAATTTTGTGACTATTTCATCTCCATTAGGAACGCAACTTCCACAAGGTATTAACATTTACAAGTTTATCAAATATATAGTCGACGATTGTTGCTTCGATTGTCATACTTATTGAACGAAAAAGCGTTCTGAAATAAAGATCTTTATTATTGCAGCTGTGGGAGCTGCCTATGCCTTTAAATTGGACAAAAAAGACGCATGTGTGATTTGTTACTTTGGTGAAGGTGCCGCGAGTGAGGGCGATACCCATGCGGCGTTCAACTTTGCTGCTACTTTATCATGTCCTGTTGTTTTCCTCTGGTAATTTTTTAAAAATTCTTATTCTTATTTCATGAAATAAATGATCATATTATTTCAGTCGAAATAATGGATACGCTATTTCCACACCAGCCTTAGAACAGTTTAAGGGGGATGGTATCGCGGCCAAGGGCCCGGCTTATGGAATTAACACGATCCGAGTGGACGGCAACGACGTACTCGCAATGTATTATGCTACAAAAAGTGCTAGAGAGTTCTGTATAAAGCAAAAGAAACCCGTTTTGATAGAAGCCATGACTTATAGGTGAATGTTAATTAATATATAATTTTAACTAACACGATAGCTAAAATTAAAATCATTAATAAAACAATACATAAAATAAGATTCAAAACAAAATAATGTAGGAATCATTACATTAAATTAAAATCTCGATAATCTTTCTTGCTGAAATAGAATTTTTCTTTCTGTAAAACAAAACTGTTATCTAATTAACAAGTTACTGTAAAAAGTTATTGTAATAAGTTATTGTAAAAAAATCTTTTAGAATTGGACATCATAGCACCTCAGACGACTCCACGGCTTATCGATCAGTCGACGAGATTTCTCAATGGGAAACCCATTCACCACTTGTTAGGTTCCGTCTGTATCTAGAGTCACTTGAATTATGGTCTCAAAAGAAAGAGCAAGAATTAATAGATTCTATTAAAAAAGAAATTTTTCATGCCTTTGAAGAAGCAGAACGCAAATCTAAGCCACATTGGAGAAATCTGTTTACGGATGTATACAAAGAAATCCCTAATCACATCAGAAAGCAAATGAATCTAATGGAGAAACATCTCGAAGAATTCAAAGAACATTATCCATTAAGTTCTTTCACACACACAAAGTAAGAGAGAAAAATATACTGTGTAAATGTGAATCTTATATTCTTTTGTTTTAATAATATAAAGCATTAAACACATGTTATACAAGAGCATTTTTTACAGAATATTTTTTTCTTCTCCTTGCTTTTCATCTCTATTGTTTTATATTGTCTGCGATTTCTTTATATTTTTTCATTCTAAATTCTTTCTTTGCTGCATCAAGCAGTAGATTATGAAGTAAATTTTTTTCATATGGATTGCACTGTTCTACACTTGGATATATGTTACCTAAAAAAAATGTAATCATAAATAAATACAATTTTTATTTGGCTTATTTAAGAATTTTTAATAAATTTTGTACCTCTAAGTTCTAAAATTGATCTATCATAGTGAATTGTAGGATATATGTTTGGTGCTTTGTGAAGTTTTGTAAACGAGGTAGTATAATTCTGATATCTTGGTACAAGGACTTTAAATAGTTTGTGCACCAGCTGCTTCTCAAGTATCCAAAAATTTGCCAAGTCCATTGTTTCCTTATGTGTAGGTCCATGGCGTATTGCCTCAAATATCAACTATAAAATAAAATATCAGTATGAGGTTTTTAATATTGAATATACATGAAATAAGATTCAGAAAAAAATAACATCAATAGTGTCGACAATGGTTCATTAGAATTATTAATTAAATGTACAAAATCGGATGCAAAATAATGTCAAGTATGAATTACGATAGCTATATAATAGTTAAAATTATTAAGACAACAGTATATTAAAAAAATAAGATTCATAGTAAAATAATGTTATATATGGATCATGATGGCAAGTTAAGTAGTTGTTAATAAGACAACAATATACAAGATTTAAGGCAAGATATATATCAAGTTGCAACAAGTTAAAAATTAATGAATGTGATCACAATCGGTCATGTTTTTTGAACTCGTTGAGCAAGAAACGTTATAATAAACACGTGTCTGTCTTCTAAATAATAAATACAAATATATCAAGTCAATACACATGCCTGATCAATATAACCTCTGGTCTCGTCGGCTCTCGGATAATTTAACTCGAGTCGCTCATATTTAATCAATGCCGTCAGGGTTTTCTGAAATTTACGAAGTCGTCCCTCCGGACCATCGGGATTTCGAAACTTTCGACGTGGCTTGACATTGTATCTCAATTTATTTACTAGATTCTCGACATTTGCTTGATTCATCTTTATCGAATTAAAGAAAACTTCAGCGCATTCAATAACTGTGCGAGTATTTGCTGTTATTGGTGTATTCTTCTAGATCAGACGTTTAGCTCTAGAAGAATATATACACTAATAGCATCGAGCATTCATTCAACTATTGAGTACGCTGAATGCGCCCAAATCCGCTTATAAACAAGATAATGCGCACGTTTTATTTCAATCGCAATCTCATGTACGATTGTACATACATCAATCAATCACAAAATGTTTCTAAATAATAATCTTCAACAATTATTAAAAATCTTCAAAGTTATTATTTTTACTTTTAAGCTAATCACACACACACACTTTCCGTAACAGTAACCGTAAACGTAGGTTTTCGATCAATCGCGTTGCTCGATTCGATTGTCCATAACTTCTCTGTTCTCTATTCCTTTTTATTGAGCGGAGCCCCTAAGAATTTCAATCTATCAGAAATAATGTATTGTAAAATACAGTTTCTGATAGATTGAAATTCTTATTCTTTGTTCTCTGTTCCTTATTCCTTTTATTGTGCGGAATCTCTTATTCTTTGTTCTCTATTCCTTTTATTGTGCGGAGCCCTTAACAATCAAGCAATCCGATTTGTCGAAAATGGGAAGTATGACTAACTTTACGGAGGTTCGATAACGTAGGTGTATAACACTTTCAGATCTAATTTTATTAAAAATTTTTTATATACAT